GAAATATTTAAAAAGTAGTTAAGGAACTTTGTGTAACAAGTAATGAAGCTGTAGTTGCAAAGGTGGATGTGGTAGTATTTGTTAATACAGGGTTTGATCATGTGCTGGGAGCACTTATTCATGTTCATTTGTGAAACATTCTGCACTGAAACCCTTATTTCTGAGGATTTTTAATAGTTTGGGTTTTACACATGAATTACTGAACACTTGCGATGCTGCTTCTAGAAACACTTTTTTAAAAATATAGAATTAAAAGTCTTCATGGCTGATGCTGTTCATGGAATTGAGACATTCAAGAAATGACTAGGTATGTTTCTTTTGCTGAGTCGGTTTTTTTCAATAAAAAGGTGTTACAGTCAATTTTTGACTAGCAATTGATTCATTATGCCTAGTTCCTTCTATATGTGAAAGTCCAGCTTCACATATTTTCATTGTTCAGTTTTTATTATTTTGTTTTAATATTTTGTGGTTTCTTCAGATGTGGATTTTTTTATATTTTTTTTTTCTGATACAAAGTGCAAAAGATTTAATTTTGCATCTGTCTTTGTGTTTTGGAAAGTACACTGTGGATCAAGGGAAACATTAGGCGTGAGAACCAGAGAATAGCTAAGGATAGAGATTAAAGGCATGAGGAATATTATATTATAACATTTTTCAGAGGACTCTGGCCTAAAAGTAATGCTTTCCAAAACAATCACCATAGATTTCTGTACCTAAATATTTGCACATATTAATAATGCACCATATGGTTGGCTTAGCAGTGTGGATATAACACATCAGTCCACCAGATGCAATATTCTCTCTGGAACAGAATATTTCCTTGGAATATCCTGCTCTTTTTGACACCTCAGTTTTAACTTTTTCTATAACTTGATCTGAAAATGATGACCAGCTTGAAATCTATATAACTTGAAGGCTTTATCAGTAAAGCCCAGCAGAGTTATATTTCTCTGTGGCTGTGATGTTGAAACCTGGTGAAAATCAATTTTTTCTTTTGCTGAATGGTATATTTGAAGCATTTTAAAGAGGTGAATGAGTGTGCTGAGGGCCTGTCATTCTCAAAATGCTTTCTTATGCAGCATGTGTAGGTACATCTGCCTGTTAGCCCTGAGAGGCTGTGTGCGTTTGATGCATTGGATGTTGTGTCAGCAGGGAGGAGAAAAAGAAGAGATGAGATATATAAGAAAGAAAGTTGATAGCAAATGGTGTTTTGAACAGGCTGTATCCCCCAGTGTAATATATTATGGAAATAATGATTCCGACAAGTGATGTTTCTTTGTAACCTGAAGTGATACAGTAGGGATTATGCATGCTCAAGTCATTCAGGGCTGTATACTTAGTTGTATACAAATGCTGTAAGAAGTATCTTTATTAAGAACAACTTGATTATGGAAGCAGTGGAGAGAAGTAGATTACTAAAAGAAAAAAACTGAAATTATTATAATCAATATTACTGTTATTAAATCATTATAATAGTAGTTTATGTAGCAGTGGGAACAAAAATTTTTAATTCTGGTTTTATGTAGTTCTCTCTTTCTATCATTTAATGCCATATTTTATCTTCTATTTAGGGATTAATTGCATCCTTTAGCTCACTTTCAAGCTTGCTCACATAGTAGTTTCAAAGCCGTTACTAGTTTGTTAATTAATTAACGTGGATAGGCAATGAGATGTGGGCTAAAGGTTTAAAAGGAGGTGTCAGGAAGCCAGAACAAATAAAACATGAATGCAAAACAGTCTGTAAGAAAGGCACAGAGAGAACAGAGAGGAAATTATTATACTAGAATAAAGAAAAAAAATACTTCTGACCTGTACGTTCTTATTAAGCACAGATCAAGAAATGCAACTGAGAGGACACGATGAAGGTAGCATGTACATCTAGCCTTTCACGTTAATAAATTCGCTTACGTGGCTGCTCTGATTTACAAAGATTTCCTTGCCATAACAGCAGTCTGGTGTGCCTTGCCAGAGGAGGATCCTCTGGCTTCAGCCAATTTGATGATTCCCTTCTTCCCTCTAGCAAATGTGGAGATACAAAAAAAGCTTAGGTAACTTCATGCATTTTAGGAATATTATGTAGTATGGGAATTATATACAATACATTTGTCTCCAGAGCTACCAGAATGTTCAGCCTTCGGAGTTAGGCTTTGTCTTCTTCCTCAGGTAGTTCTTTTACCAACGAATGGTAGAACAATTGTTTTAGTTCCCATTCGGTCCCCTTGTGTTGCCTGATCTAAGGTGGCGTCCCTGGTGGCAGGGAGACTGGATTAAAATGATCTCTAAGGTCCCTTCCAGCTTAGGACATTCTGTGTTAGTTAGGACGGGGAAAAAAAGCCCAAACACAACCAAAAATCCCCACTTCAAAACTGGCTTTTAATATGACCATTCTTGAATGAAATGAATATTAACCTACAGGAAATACATCTAAGAGTGCATTTATTTAAGAGTTTTGAATTCTATCTTCCACTGTTGATAAATCACTGAAATTTTGTTTTGTATGGAAATTCCTTAAGAATGGAATATGCATATTTGTGGTCTACTTTGTACAGATGTTAAGTAGGAATCTCACAGAGTATATTTCATTTCCCTGACTAAAATCTTCCCCCTTCTCTGTTCCTCCTTCTCCACATTGTTGTTCCTTCCCCACATACTGAGAGTTAATAACAGGAGAAGTGAGTTTATTTTGCCTCACTGCTTCAAAAAAATTAATGCTATGGCCAGCAGAAAGAAAGAAATTGATAAGCTAAAACAAAAGACAGCGAATGTTGGGGAAAAACACCAGTGACCTAGGTAACATAAAATTATTTCATGACAAGTATGAAACTAACAATTTTGGACATCTAAAAATGTAAAATTAGCAATTTGAAAACATTTATCTAGATAAAATAAAACATTTTACGTGAAACATTACGACCTGTCTAAACTTCAGCCAGGATGCTACAGTACTCATTTGGACAAAGAAGACAACTAGTTAATCAAGGCAAAGAAAACTAGACAGAGTAAATTAGGTTACTGCATTTCACACTCTTAGTTACGAAAAAGAATATATTTCGCTAATTAGAGAGCGAAAATACTGGTAAGCTTTTAGAAAGAGAATGAAAGAAGAGCAAAACAGAGCGATACTGGCTTTGGAATTGTGTATCAACCCATGATGTTTGCATGGTACAATTTTATGGTTTTATCAATTAGGCAGCCTATATTAAGAGGTCTTCAGTTTTGATCTTACTGATTATATACCACATAATAATTCATAATGAAAATTATTATGCAGATCTTCAATTCTTAATTTTCATGTACTCTTGGATCCTTTAATGTAACAAAAGGAAAATTAATTTAAAAATCTGCATGAATTTACATGTTATAATTAAAAAGGCCAATAACTTCACAATTAAAATGTTTACTATCAAATTTTAAGTTTTTTAGCGGATTGTTATTTTGATTGTGCTGTAGAAAATTTTACTTTATATTTTATATTTTTTACTTTATATTTTACTTTATATTTTCATCCTTAATGCTACAGGATTGCTCATTCTAGATGTTTTACTTCTATATTCCTTAAAATGTTAAGTTCACCTGCTTGTTGCATGGGATAAGAAACCTTTTGTCTGAAGACTGTACATTGTTTTACATAGTGAAATCTTTATACAAGTTCTGAAAAAAGATTGCTCTTTTTACCCAGAAAAAGATAGAAAATTTTCTGAATTTTTATTCAAACAAACATTCCAGTATAGTACCGGTGTGAGATTTTATACTGAAAAAGAGATAAATTTATCTCTGATTTTCATTTCCTTTCCTTTGTCTGAATCTTCTCTCCAAATATGAGCAAGTTCTTGTACACGTAAATGTCATTTTATCTGCTGAAGGCTGAGAATCAGGTCCTCTGTTTATCTTTTGCATGAGCAGTATTAGGCCCTTGAATCATTTCCATTGAATTGAAAGAGAACAAGGTCAAGTTCTGTATGGTTCCAATACCACAGCTGATTTTTAAAAACCTTTGGTTTTACAGCAGTTTGGTGCTAAATTCATATAGGCAATTTGTATGTTTGAAGAAAAGTTTGATGTCTGACCTCCTTTGGACAGACACGTCAGCAGAAGACCTGCCGTCTTTCTTTTTAGTTAAACATGAGATAAGCTGATAAAACAAGTTACTTATCCAGTCTCTCACATTTTATTACATTCTCTCTCAAGCATTTTTAAATTGGAGTCAATGGCTCTATAAAGCCTATACATTCTGTTTGGTTTATTTTTTTATTTCAGAAGATACTTGTTTGAGCGTTATGTTTATTAGGTAACTCTGTGTATGTGTGTGTATGCATGGAAGTGTGCAAGTCTGTGTATTTGTAGAGTGAGATGTCCCCTTTCTTTTGTAAGATCTACTTCTTAAATTGTCTCACAGTTTCCAAAAATGCCAAGACCAAATATGGAAACTTCAACTTTAAAGAGACAACATCCTGGAAAGGTTTGAACTAATGAAAAAGCATGGCATTAGTCTCTTAACAAAGTTCTTTCCATCATCATATTGTAATCAGATAATGTGACAGATTATTTTTTGAGCAGAATTGGAATCAGTCATATGAAGTAAGTCTAAAATGTCTCTTTGTTTCTAAAACATTATTTTTGTTTTATGTGCATTTCAGAACCATATGCAATAAATATTTAGACTCTTGATTTGCTACACATCAATCTAAAAATCTACCTTGCTATCTTAATCAGAATTAATTTGTTTAATTGTTATTCCTATCCCATCAATCTCAGTTTTGCACTAGCTTGAACAATGCCACTTTTTGCCGTTTGCACTTTAATTCGATTTCCATTCTAAGGTTGTGAACAGTAATAGGGTCCTGCTTGAATATTCATTAGCTTTCAAGTGTGAACTATGAAAAGGTGCTTTCTTTTACATTATTGAAAGCGGCTCGGCACGGGGCAGATCAGTAATGACATTTGATTTTAGGCATCCAACAAATTTGCTTTTTATTTATTGACACATCTTGTCCAAACAGCTCCCTCGCAAGTTAGTGGAGTAATGAAAGAGAGAGTGCTGCAGAGGAGCGTGGAGCTTTCCTGGCAGGAACCAGAACATCCCAATGGAGTCATTACTGAATATGAAATCAAGTATTATGAGAAAGTAAGTGCTAAGATTATCTCTAATTTACAACAATGTGCTGTTTACTTCATGTTGGCTTGCTGTGCTGTGGAACAATGTTAATGCCATCAGCTATCAACTATATCCTATCTCTTCAAAGTCACAGTGATTTTTGCTCGTATTTAATAACTAGTCAATCCCTGCAATTACTGTTGTTATCGTATGTGTCATATATTGCATTTTGGTATGCAAAAAAATGCAATATCCACCTAAAATCTGTACTTTTTTCCACTTTTTTTTTAATTTTAATTTGGGCTTGGATATTTCACCATGATATGTGTCATTTTCTTGTCTCTCTACGTTCTGTTTAAAGCTTCTTTCATTTCCTTCTGTGTCACTGCAATTCAAGTCTTGAGATGATACATCAAATACAACTCTTGACTGTATTTGGTATTTCCTTATGAGCTGGGCAGCTTGAAGTTGGTGTCTGAAAACTTCCAAAGCACTTCCTACAGTTTCAGCTTATAAATATTCCTTTTTTGTCCTTTTAAAATATCCCAGCATTGTGAAATTTATTTTTCACTTGTCCTCTCAACACAGTAATGAATTGAGGTCTGCTTTTCAATAGTAGATGAAGTGATCTCCGTTTCTGGTAGAGTGAAATTGCAATCTTATTGATGTCACTCAGAATTTTGCCATTCATTTCAGTGTGTCTGGCGCTTCATCCATGATAACTTTGAAGTACTCCAGAATAAAAAAATTCTGACAAGCATATAAGTAGGGCCACATGCAACTGTAAGCTGGATGAAAGCAGAGTGAAAGCAGGTTGTGTAGCTGTATGTTTGTCATGGGACCCAGACTAAGTGTGACGTCTCCAGATTCCCTGGGAAATTTGCTGTAGAGAGTAACATATACCTAATTTTTTAAAACATTCTGGGAGAAAAAAAAAGAAATCACTAAAATGTAAAAGAATGAACAAAGGAGCTCCTTTGTGATTACTTGTGAAGACATGTCATCTCTGCATACAAGGTAATAGTATCTCTGTATCAAAAAGAGCATGTTAGCTTACTAGGTAACATAAAATTGGGTAAATTCAGACCACATTGGATCTGATATTAAGTGTCACATGTAATTTTCAATACTGAATTACACAAATATACTTATCAAAAATCTTTATATCATATGGGAAGGGAATAAAATGTTTAATTTTTAATGTTAACTCCTGTTTCAATTGTTCACTTTAATCACTCTTATAACAAAATTTACCAGATACTTACCAGATAGCTGAACAAGTTTTCAAAAGACATTTTACTGATTTTAGAAGGTAATTTTTATTCCTCAAGCACATGTGTGTGTGCAGACACACAAATAAAGCCCACACATCTTAAAAAAAAAAAAAAAGTTTACATATTTACTAACAGCCAAAAAGATACTTGACTTTTCATATAATGATAGCTTTGAGAATGTGGCTTTTATTATTTTCTCTATGTATTTATGTTTAAAGAGGTGACAGACTTTCATTGCCAGTTTCCTCTGTTTGCAAAGACAGGAACTGATTTTAAAGTTCTTTTGCAATGGAAGAAAACCTACTAGTATTATTACACTGAAATTAATAAAAGAGAATAAGAAGCTCATACTATGAACACCCACAGATAAACTGGACTATATAGCTTTAATTCAGTGAGACAATTTAAACACAAGTACTTAAATGCTTGCCTTCCTTCCAAAATAGTGCAGTTCAGCTTGAAAAGTACTTCATAAGCTTTTTGCTCAGAATGAGAGAGGCAGTTTAAGTTTTGTTCCATTACTTTAAAAGAAAAGAGAGAGGTGCACTTTCAGCTCCCAGCTCCTTTCAGAGCCAAATGAAATCAAACATTTTTGTGGTTCTGAAATATTCTGATAAGTGTTTTTTTCACCTCTCACTTCTGGCTAGGGCTGGAATGGAAACTGCCTGAAATCTCCCAAGTAAGCTTGTCTTGTGAGATTTCTAGCACAGGTTATTTTTATTTTTTTGTTACTTCTTTGTTTTAAATGCAAGAACTGTTGGCAATTCAAATAAGCCTCATTTATGTATCAGAACCCAAACTCTGAAATTCCACTGTGGCTTGCAGTCCCGAACCTGACTGTTTATGGGTTTCTTACACTTGTTTCTCATCTGTCAAGCATTCGTGTTCTTTCTCACATACCAACATACATTCCACCATGGTCCTCACTTAGAGATGATTTAAACCCTCTTGGAGAAGATAAGAAAAATTGTTGCTAGCCGAGCTAGTGGACTTGCTCAAATGACAGGCTGGGCAAGACCCAGGAGAAGCCATTACTGAATCTCAAAAAAGAAATTATGTATGTTGTATTTAACCCTGTATTCCAGCAAAAGCCTCTGCTGCTTTACTGACTGCGAGGGGGAAAGTTCTCCATCATTTTTTGCTGCCGAAGTACTATTGAAATGAGTTACAGATTTATTCCTTCCCTCTGTATCTGTCTCATTAGCACTGTGTTGTACGGCTCATGCTTCTCTGCTCGTGTGGTGCGTTCAGATGGTTGGTTAATTCATCTTTTCTGCCCTTCAAATCAGGGTTGCATCTGCTGCTGAAAATCAACAGGGCCTCACATATCTGTGCTGAAGGATAATCTAGATCACTAAATGTGATGCATAAGTAGAGCTTTTTGAATACTGTAATGATCTGTGATACAGCTTGTAGTAGTTGAAAGTGAGTTATTACTCACAGGATTTGTAATCTTACAGCTTCAAATTTGGGGGGTGTCATATGGAGCTTTTTACCCTGGGTTTGTCTTGATGTCGTAGAGTCAAAACCTGAAAAAGAAATAAAATCCTGACCCAAAAAAAAACAAAACCAAGAGAAAACCTCAGAATTTGGTGCAAAATACAGCTGTTATACATTGGCAGTTGTGTATTTTTTTAAATGTGGTATTGGATGGTAACAAGGGGTGCTGTTCTGACCATGAAAAAAGAGATTTCCCTGTCCTTGAACTGTTTAGATCCCACAGATCCCCGTGGAAAGCTGCGGCCAAGCTGTTTTCTCATCAAAATTTCACAAAATGTAATCAGAGCCAAAGAAGCAATCATTTTATGTCTGGATGTTTTATGAGTAACAACATGAGCATCCCATTTGAATTTTATGTTACGCTTAGAGCTCCTCATGGCATTGACAGTGTTTTGTAATACTCCACAGAGCATGCTTTATTTTTTTATGTTGGGGAAAAAAGCATTCAACAAATTGAAATAAACTGCCCAGGCTGGCTGTCAGTTGCTGATGAGCAACTAGGATAAAATCTGACCTGTAAATGTCATTTAATCTTTTGTCTTACTGTTTCTAGGATCAAAGGGAGAGGACCTATTCAACAGTGAAAACCAAGTCCACTTCAGCTTCTATTAATAACCTAAAGCCAGGAACAGTGTATGTTTTCCAGATTCGTGCTTTTACTGCTGCTGGTTATGGAAATTACAGCCCCAGACTGGATGTTGCCACACTAGAAGAAGCCACAGGTAAATAATTAGATTTGTAGGAAGTAACAGCTCTAGTAGAAATAAACCAAGAAAGTCATAGGCAATATTATTAAAACTAGAAAGAATTAAGTTCTGCATGAAGGTGGATTTTTGTCATTGTATTTTTGAAGCATGACTTGCAATCAGTTGTTTTACCATAGAACTACAAATTACAAACTTACAATTAGCTGGAGAAGATTTGTATCATATCAGGTTCTTCTCCTCTGATGTCCTTCTAGCACAAAGAAATATTTTTTTTTCATTCAAATACACACTCTTTATCCCCACAAGAGAAGTGAGTAGTGGTGAGCTGAATAACTCTACTAGATTCTTCTGTAACTGGGAAGAGGAGAAGAGACTTCAGCCCACAGAGGCTTCTCTGGGTATTTTTTCTCCATTTAATTTCCAAAAAAACCTCTTTATAGCTTTATTTATGTGTGTGTCTTGTTTAAGCTGTATGTCCATCCTTAGTGTCTTTTGAGTTCATTGGCTAGTGTCAGTTTGGTTTTGTAAAGAAACAGGTCTCAAAGATATACTTTAAGGCTCATGTAATATGTTGTAGGCTGTGTAAAGAAAAAACAATGTCTCAAAACCCCTCACAATGGAAAGTATGAAGCTGAACTATGAGCTCTTGCAGTGCAGTACACCAGAGAATCTGGCTGTGACATCTCAGCAGAGAGATAACATTTGGGGAGAACTTGCTCTTTCCCTGATGCTGAAACCAGCTTTGTGCCCTTATTTGGCTAAAAAACCACACTGATACCTTTTGTCCTCACTACTGTTGATATGTGCATGTATTTTGAGTCTTCAGAAAGAAACTCTTCCATCACTGAGACCTGGCAGCCATGAGCCCATTCATGGGAACTGCCTGTGTCCTTGGCAGCTCCACCACTCTCTTGCAGACCCAAACTTGGTAAATCTGTTTTGGGTCATTTGCTTCAACAGGTCAGCCAGATTTGGAGCAGAGAATATGTAGCCTACATGTTCAAAAAGGTACGGATGTCAACTCTGCTCTCTGCACCCTATGCAGCATATCTAAAGTGCAGACACACACAAGTACGTCTTTGTAACTGCAGTCAGGTATCACCTGAACAATTTGTGGATATTCTTAAAACCCAGTAGTTAGTTCTTGGTTCCACACATAATATGAAAACTACCAATAAAGAATAATATCACATATCTAACAGACATAATTGAAATAGTAATCATCATAATAGCAGCAATAACCTGTTATTACTAATATTATTAGCTCTGTGACTGATAGCATACTTGCCATCCGTAGAGTTTTGCTTTAGAAAATATCAATAATAGAATCTCCATTTTGCATAATGGGAACTTGAGGCACAGCCAGAAGTGATTTCTTACTTTGAGTAGGTTTCTCGAAAAGAAATCAGAAGTCAGTCATAATCTATCATAAGTTTCTGCTAAATAGCTAATTTGTGATCTGTAGTGGGTTAAAATTAGTAGACTAAAATGTTTTCCCAACATTTTCCTAATTAGCTGAGTATTTTTTGTATGCTGAATGTAAGTATACTGCTAGCCACTAAGATTAGCAAAAATAATTTCAGAGGTGAACAGTCGTCTAGAGTTTGGTCAGTATATGGAAAATTAAGAAATCCTAGAATAAATGCATCACTGACCATGCTTCTGGGCCCTTTTCCTGACTCAGGTAATGAAAAACTGCATATAATCCAGTGACATACTTGGCCAGTATGCACAGCAGATTTTTCTCTTGTCACAGGCCAGCTTTGTGTTTTGAAATGCTATGTAAAATGTCCTTTACTTTCATTAAAAAAAAAATTTAAAGTGGCACATTTTCCATTAGCTTGAGAGGACGTTATAGAATGTAGTTCCTATCAAGGATAAGCATCGACAATTTTCCATATATTTAATTACATAATTAAAATATTGTTGAAAAAATAGTAAATTCCATTAAATTCTTCTAGAATTCTTTATAGTTTGATCAGAACTTGCAGGCTAATCCAACTAGTCTTTTGGTAACATTTTAAAGGAAGATACTGGATAATATTTAGCAAATATACTTCAAGTGAAATGCTGTACAGGTAAGCAGTATGCTCGCAGTTTAGAGACATTGAGTTCTCATTGTTTGAGTGGATTTTTGAATGCAGCTTTTCAATATGTCGAAATATTTTAAGAATATATATATAATGAGAGTATATATATATATATATACACGCACATATATATTTATGTAAGAATATAGATAGTGACCCTCACAGTTAGTTAGTCGTGTTGCCTACTTGAAATTCTCCTTCAACTATTGGCACCTTTTGGTTGGTGCTAATGATTAAGGAGATTTTTGTATTATGCTCCGGTTTCTGAATTTTGATAGAAACTGCATATCCACTTTCAATATTTGAGGAACTATGTCCATTATATTAATATTAACTGCTATGTAAAAGATATATTTTTTAACCTATATTTGCATATATCATACATAAAAATGGGTAAAAAAATAAAAATTATGAAATAAAAATGCTCTGTAAATGCAGACTATTTCTATTCTATACTGTGTTTGCCACAGATCAAAGTACTTTAATCATTGTAATTTTTTTAGTCAAAGCATTGCTGGTTATTAGAGACAGAAGTCCCTCAGGGTGAAAATATGAATGTACAGAATATCACTTAAGTTCTTTTGGTTCCCTGAAGTATTTAAAAGTTATGACTTTTAGCCAGTGGATCTAAAGATGGTCCTGTACTTCTGGTAATTGAAGGAGATTTTGCCACTTATTACAGCTCTCACTGTTAAAGCAAAAGGACTCAGCACAACCTGGCCTGAAGAAGACTTTGCTTTTTCCTTTTGCCATGAAGCAGTTTATATGGAGCAAGTTTGAAGTAATATGCAGATGTAAAATTTATTCCTAATACGTGAAATAACAGTACCACGAATTTTCATAGGATACATAAAATATAATATTTAAGAAAGTAATATTTGGCCTACATGAATCCAGCTTATCATTAAACTTTCATGGTGGACTCCGTCAGGAATTCTTTTCTGCAAATCATAGATTTCAGGCTGATTGCATAAGCAACATGTTGCTGGAGAAGCAGCATAGCTTTTACAGCTGATCTCCTTTCTGAAATCCTCCAGGGTGTTTGGATACCCACCTCCCATCCCTGCAACCGTATATTTTACAGATGCTTTTAACTTCTTCACATTAAGCATTGCATCATTCATTTGGATATGTAAATACCAGAAGAGGTATCAGCTACAGCTAATAGCCCATGTACCATGTCGTTGTTGCCCTCTGGGTCTACGCACAGTTTAAGCAGAGGTAAGGGCAGACTTCCCTGTCCTTGCTGGTGGTTCCCTGCCATCACCACTGTGGCAGCACCAGTGACAGGTAACCATGCCTTGCACCCTCTGGAAGGATCATCTGAACCCCAAAATCATTCTTCTAAGAACAGTCTAGCATCTTTATTTCTGACAAACCTCAGTGATCATTCCAGAAGCTTTCTGATTCAGCCATGCACTGACTAAGTTCATCACACAGAAGAGAGAAGCAGCACCGAGTACCTGGACAGAGGCAGATGTCTCAGACTGCTGTCACTGAATTTGTACCAGACCATGCCCACCATCTGACTTCCTCTTTTTTAATGTAAAAATACGTCATACATTGCATCCCATCTATCCTACCAGTTGGCCAGTGTGCCATGTTCCCAACATTTTCCAGAGGCCAAATAACATCCTCATCTTGCTTCCAGAATATGCCAGTACCCAAAATCTGTGAGGCAGTTATGCAGACCAACCCACTCACCTATGTCAACCTCTGTGCACTCAATTTGACTGCTAGATTTCATGACAGACTGAGCTGGATAGTTTTCTAAACTCTCTTAGGTGGATGCAGCTTTGCACCCTGGCCATTGTGACAGGATGCTGCCTCTTCTTGACTTCCGAGTGAGATTTGCACTGCAGCTCAAAAGTAGAAAGGAACAGTTTTAGGAAATGTTATATTGTACATAAATTTGACATTGTTTGGGATTGTCTGCTTTGATGGCCTGATGATGTTACAGGAACTGAGTTTTATTACTTATTCCCCTGCACTCTTGCGTGAGAGAGTGACCACTGATTTCCTAAAAGTTCCACAAGAGGGATATATGCAGACCTGCAGTAGCATCCTACTGACCTGGGCATCTTAGAAAGCTATACTTGCTCAGAAATAAGCATTTGCTATTTTCAGTTAAAGACATATATGAATAAGGAGTTCTGCCTCAACCGCATTAGCTAGAATAGAAAAACTACAAAGTTTATTTAGGAAATAAAATTTCAGGGAGAGGGGGAGAGAATTTTCCCCCATTGCAACTTATTCAATATCTGTGTAGTATAACAAAGAGTTTGTTATTTTGGGGGTAAGCAGTTCATACAGGTCAGTGTCAGTGACAAAATAAATCACGTTGATTAGCTCACTTCTCCCAAGACAGAGCAAAGAAAAGAATTTGTTCTTACGGGAACTTCTGAAGTCTGCAACAGAACCTGATTCTGTGGAATTCATAAAATCCTCATATAGACATTCCTTTTCAATGACCACTACCATCAGTTCACCATACTCACATAACATCTACAATTTAGTTAATCACCTATCAGTTGGGTTTCCTTTCTCCCCTCCTCCTTTTTTACCTCTCCGCTGCTTCGAGATGACTCACACTTTCATATTCCCTTGCTCAGCATCACTAGCTGATATCTCCTCCTTTATTCTCAGTCTCTTACTCTAGATCCTCAGCTACAAACCAGCATAACTCCACAGAGTTCAGTAGAGCTGTATTCATTTAATGCGACTGAGTACATGGCCACCCTCATTAGGTGTCAGACAAGAAATGTATTTAATGAACCTTGAGGTTTCTCGGACTAAGTATTTACATCCTCAGTTTACATTAATGTGACATGCATACATTAGCATTTATTAATAGCATTGGCATATCTGAATAAAAAGAGTGATAATGTGTGGATATTTAAGCATGTAAATTCTCTGAAGCATGGAGAGTTCCATTTTGTATATGCATAAGCACCTTTTTGTTACTAGCAGAAACAAATGAGAAGTAATAATAGCAATTTACAGTGATTAATAGCAGTAAGAGACAGAAGTATGCTAACTCGGAAATCCATGTTAATAGATAGTGTGTCATCTCAAGCATTCTTGTAGTTAAGACACTATTTCCTTGGGTATCATCAAAGTCATATCAACCAGTTTTAGAGGAGAGGCTCTTCAGGGATTTTTCTCCTACTATCCCCCCTTTTTAGATACTTGAGTCTCCCCTTTTAGGAAGATGTCAACTGCTGAGCAAAACATAAGGCAGTGCAGCAATAGGACGGAGTGGAAGTGGCCACTGCTGGCTTTCAGCTAATGGATGCACTACTTTGACCAAGTCAGTTCCAGCGTAGCTCCTTTTTATTCTCTGTAGACAATCATTAACTCATCAAGAATCTGGATGAATTTCAAGTGAAGGCCCTTCTTTAGATTAACTTTCTCAGTATAATAGTTTCCGTCAAAGGTAAACTAGCAGTCTGCAGTTCATGATGGTTGACTTAATTTTTGCAGTTCCTCTGTAGGGAATAGTTTTAAACTAATCTCTGTTCTGTGCTTCATTTGTAGCCACAGCTGTTTCCAGTGAACAGAATCCTGTTATTATCATAGCTGTGGTCGCTGTGGCAGGAACCATCATTCTGGTCTTCATGGTGTTTGGATTCATCATCGGGCGAAGGTATTGCACCTTGCGTAAGCATAAATACGTCGGACCCTACTCTTGTGAACTCTTGAGACATAGTCTAATCTGGGATAGTAACTTGCAAAATTGAAACAGGATTCATTTTCAGTAAGGTTAATTTTCATTTAAATCCCATCATTAATTATACAGTTTGTCCTCTTACTTTGACAAGACACGCTTAAAATAAATATGTTCTTCTTGTCCCATGTAAATGTGCTGTAAAAAGAACCCCTAGCACATTCTTTACCTGTACTTCTCAAAGTCCCTCTTTCTGTTCAGTGTTCTCACATGTAGAAGTCTGACACTTTATTTGATCAGCCTTTAAATGACTTTGCATTCAAGAAAGAGAGGCACAGCAGTAGGTTTAACAATACTCTCATGTAAAACAGTGTTCTGCTTTCAAGTTCTGCAGTCCTCTGTTTCATTTGTAGAAGCTTTTCACCAGAACTAGGATTTTCTCTTTAGGACTTGTTCCAACTGGTATTTGATACAAAAGGCTTTTGATTGCAACTGTTCATGATTTATTTAAAACTCTGCTGTCAGGAGAATTATAGCTGAAACTTTCAAAGGGCCTACAGGAGTTAGATGCTCAGTTCCCGAAAGTCTCAGCTTGTGGAACTGATGTTGGCAGGATGTTAGATGTGAGGAAGTAAATAATTATTTACCAGCAAAATTGGTGTCTTTCTTTTCAGGCATTGTGGCTATAGCAAAGCAGATCAAGAAGGGGATGAAGAACTTTACTTTCATTGTAAGTGTTTTGCTTTTTTCCCCTCCCTTTCAAAAATTCCCAGCTGCAAAAGTGCAGATGATACTAAAACAACACTCCATGAAAGACAAAGCCCTAAGAAATTAAAAAATGCTGTGTAAATAGTAAGTGGGATGTTAAACATGGTAAAAATGTGACCTACACAAAAAGAATGAAGATTAAAGTCAACATTGCTCACACAGACAATTTTATTTCTAAACATGTGTATGATATACGATTGTTTTCATTCTGCTTTTTCTTTTCTTTTCTTTTGGTTGCTTTGAATATATGCTTCACACTGTCTTAATGATCCCTCTGAGGTGCAGTATTCGAGAGATCTTTGGCCAAGTGCCTGTATGATCTTTACCTCGGGCAAACTTCAGATTAAGAAAGCGTGGGTCAGTGCATCGCCCTAACAATGAAGCTGTTCTGCTCAAAAGCCCTTTTCTGCTATTGTGAATACTGCAACATCAATATTTACAAAACAGAATGCCCTTAAAAGTAGAATATTTAATATGAAAATAAAGGTTGTCTGAACCTATGCTAGAACTCTGGAAAGATTCAATAAAATACATCATTCTTGGGTTAATTACAATTGAAAACTTAAGGGGAGAGGAACACTTATGCAAGAATAGTTTCAATTTTTTAATTTTTTTAAAAACCAATTTCTTACTTTAGCCCTTTCTCATTTCACTTATGACATAATTTTGACATGAAAAATTAAAGATATTTAATTTCTTTTAGAATCAATCTCAAGACTCAGGAAGAATGGTAAAACTGGTTTGCAAAATTATTTTAAACATTCAAAAATGCAAAATCACATAATGAAATTAAACTGAATGCAAGTTCTTACACAGGCCAGTGCCCGGGTTTCCACGAGAAATCAATAGAACTTGCCATTTAGTCATTCTATGCTGTATTTAGCCTTTATTGTCTGCCAATAATTGCAGCTGTAGCTTAAATCCATCAGATTTTTTTATATATATAAGCAATATGATTTATCTTCTTTTACAGCTGATAAAATTGTGAGCTATTATCAGAACGTAATGTCACATGGAGAATGAAGTATCCACCAGTCACAAATTAATAGCATATTCTCGTTGTATGCCACTTTAAATGAGTAGTTCTAGCCAAAACTCCACTCAAAATCAGATCAAGGCTTCTGTTTCACCTTCCTGCCCTATAAAAATCAGATCAGTTGGAATTTGTTCATGCTCCCTGAGCTTGGAAGTGATGCTGCCTAAATCAGTTAAATGCAATGAATGTTAAACTAAGTAGTGACATCATTGCAGTTTTAGTCAATCAATTCATAATCTGTGAAAGAAATGTGGAAAATAGTAATGGGATAAGAATTATTTGTTATGCACTTTGCAGTGCAGCTGATTTTAAAGAATTTGTCAAAAATCTGATGTTACTTAAATGTTGCTATTCTGGGAGTGATGGATTTTAAATTTGCCTCTCATAGATGTGTTATAAGCTTTTTACGTCTTCAGAAGAGCTGCTTTAGACTCCCTATTATTGTCCTTGAAGGAAAAAAATCAACTATTTATTCTTTTATGCCAGTATATAAACAAAAGAAATATGCTAGCTAAATAATTCCTTTGTCCCCATTATTGGTGACATTTTTTGTTTCAGTGAAAGTATAAACAAATTAAAATGAAAGTTGCTACTTAATGATTAATAGCTGATCCAGAAATAGTAAGATTTTATAAGTGTTCATTTCCCTCATCATTTTTCTTTCAAGAAATCTGATTATCAGTCAAAACAGCATACACAGTCTTTTTAAAATCATAGCACTAAATATAAGTCACTTTTTGCCGGTCAATCTTTGATTGATGGTATAGTATTTAATTTTATTTGATAACCATGTACAGAATGAAACAGAACCCAGTGCTGTGGTCACCAGTTTGGTCACAGAGCTGTGAACTCTTAGTTCGGCATCCATTTATTCCACAACATCTAGACTACTATCTTCTGTGCTGAGGTATCAGACTGGATTTTCAAAAACATAACATACACTTAGCACAAAAACTTACAAATAAACGTGTTTTAAAAGCAGGTTTTAAAGCACTGGATTTACTAGAGTATCACATATTTCCTTGCAGTCCCCCTCAACTCATTGGGACTTCAGGTGCTACACTTGAATATACAAGTACAATGGAGGAGTTTAGTCAATTCAGATTTGTATTTGGTTCCCTCCTACTATTTTCGTCCAACAATGTCTTCAAATCCAGGCCAACTTTATTTCACATTGGTATGCCAAGATAGCATTGGCATGTCAAAATGTTTTATGACAGCTTGAATAAAGAACCATCAGAAGCCCACTTGAGATTTGCAACTTTACCTCCAATCCAGGCCTCTTGTCACAAACACAAGAGGATGGCTCCTTCTCCATCTCTCTGCCTGAAAGCACTATTGTAGGAGGTTAATCTATTGCTTTCTTCTCATTTTCTCTAGTAGTTTCTGGGGTTGAGAAAAAAATATTTATAATTTTAAAAAATTGTAAAATTATCAATACCATTGGAAGAACATCTGTTTAAATACATAATTAGGCAGATAGTGACATCTGGAAAACATATATAATTTCTCTGGTTGTAAATTCATTAGATTACTCAAGCAATTTCTCTAGCTCTTTCTTATGAGAGCTTGGGGTTTTTTCGGTCAGTGACACCATCTGAAACATAAATATAATAATAATTACTGTGCTATTTTTCAATGTTTTTTCAAATATAAGGTATTTTAATGTTCAGTTAAAAGATTACAAAACAACCATAAATTATTTATGTTTTGTATTGACTTCTGATCCTATTCTAGTGTATCAGTATATCAATTAGCAGAGGTACATTCTTGCATTTTCATACTGAGTTTTAATTCAGTGATTTAATTAAAGCTGAAGACTGTAATCCTTGTGAGCCAAATTTATTTTGTAATAATTACTTGATTAAGATTTCCCGGGTTGCTCTACTTTCACCAGAAGTTTCTATTTTCACCAGAGGAGCAAAAATTAATTTTCCTGAATTGGCAACAAAGGGAAGAAACTACCTGACCAGAGCAGTACACTGCCTGAGCTGCAGTAAGTGCTGTACTGGGCAAAGTGGGAGTAAAAGCCAAGTTGCTGCATATTATTCCCTTAGATGCTTGAGAGAGGGAATAATTGTGCCACAGAACCCACTTTCCCTTCCCATGCCTTTACAAGTTGACTATGAGTGTTTCTTATGTTCATATCCCAGTGCAAGAAACATACGCAGAGATACAAATTTTAAATGCTGTGAATAGTTTAGTTTGGCTATTGCCACAGTCTGTAAATAATATTGTATTCAGTAGTTTAAGCAAATTAAAGTAGGTGGAGGAGCCTTTCAAATCCGTCTAGAAGACTGAGGTAACATAAAGAAATGCTCTTTATGCAACCTGGGAAAAAGGAGATAAATTGTTCTTGCATAGAAAACAAAGTTTCACCTCCTCTGCTGCTCTTATGCCCCTTCTCCTAGTTTATTTTTGCTCCCACTCAACCCTTGCATTTTATTCTGTTGAGTGCTGTTTAACATTTATTCTTTCACTTCAGGGTGGAGATGCAGATGCTAATGTTAGTCATTTTTAGAGATGGGAGTGTGTACTTGTGTCAGCATGCTTGCAGATGATGCCTAAAACTGTGGTTGCCTCTCAGAGCGACTCTGACTCAGGCGGCGTGGAAGCAGGTTCACTCTTCCAAGGAGTACTCTGCATAATGAAATTCCGGGGCTGACTGCACAATAAGTGCCTTTGCTTCATCACAGTCATGCTTTCTTACATCATTACAGTTAAATTTCCAGGCACCAAAACCTACATTGACCCTGAAACCTACGAGGACCCAAATAGAGCTGTCCATCAATTCGCCAAGGAGCTAGATGCCTCTTGTATTAAAATTGAGCGTGTGATTGGTGCAGGTAAGGCTGCCATGACTTCCTGATTCAACTGTTCCATTTAGCTGGGATCGAAACTCATACATCATAATGACAGGCAAATAATTATACCTCGAGTATAGAAGAACTTTTTTCATTTGGCAGAGTGGTTAAGAGCAATGAAGCTGCACTCGCTTCTAAAATGTGAAAACAACAGGGGAAAAAGAAAACACAGCAAAAACCAAAGAAATAAGTAAATTAAGAGTCTTGCTTGACATTCAAAGCTTGTGGGTTTCTAATTCTGTATCTGCTGTTAAAAATGTAATTGAGGGGATGGGGACATTTTTTGCTGCCTGTTATTTACTGTCGGAGTAAAGGCGTTAGGCATGAGTGCAAATTCTGCTCACTTTCCTTTTGTAAGAGGGCTTCTTGACCTCTGAATTTTTGTTCCTGTGAGTAAGGAAAACTGGCTGCGGCACAAAATCTTAAGTAGAGACTAGGAGGGTCTTGTTTCTGTATAACAAAATCTTCCCTAAGGCAGTTTTTTGTTCTATGATTTTTCTTTTTGATATTTTATGAATACAAAAAGTTATTGTTTAACTTCTCATGACTGATTGTAATTGCACCAGCATTACATTGCTTTTCTTCCTCTTTAACTGTCTACCACCTACTCAAGCCATGGTGTTCGTGCTCTAAAAAGGCAATTTCATTTGTTTGCATTAATAAGATATGTGTCATTTTTATTGCACTACTCCATGTTGTGAAATTAAGTTTCCATGGGTAAGAAAAGTATCAAATACTTTGGATTCCTGGAGGAAATGTTCTTTTGCTTTCCTGTAGTTTTATAAAAGTATTAGTAGAATACTTTTTAAATCACCCTGTAGTTTGGCATGCACTGTAAATTATGTACTGTGGTATTATTTAGAAAGAGAAGAAATATCTCTAAAATAAGCTAGTTTACCTGTAGAAAAATCTTTACACTTTGAATTCACAATGCCTCTTTAAAATAACCTCACTCATGTCGAATCATGTCTTAATCAAGGAGTAGTACGATTGAAATTAATAACACTGCTTGAGCAAATTTTTCCTTCAGATGAGTAAGAGCATAAGAATTCAGCCCTTGCTAACTAGTAATTTTTGTGATGGTAGAATGGCAGCCTCCTTTCTAATAAATACACAATATACATGATTTAACTTCGAGATTAGCATAGAAAAATTACTGAGCTTTATCTTTTGCTTGGAGCTAACAAACTTACAGCATAGCAACAGTTCAGAGCACAAAGATATATTCAGTTGGACTGTGGCGATGCCTTCAGAGGAAAATGCTGAAAACGCTTCAGTTGCAAATACAGTTTAAAACATATTTTCACTGTTCCATCAGAGTAATTCCAGAATGTTAATTTTGTTGACTGCAGATGAATTTATTCTTGATTTTAATGAGTATTACTGATAGCAAAAACCTAACGTGTGTCAGAAGTCATTCTAAAGACAGTTAATTAGAAATGCTATGGTGAACGCATATTGTGTATAGGGTTTAGCTATGGCTTTAACCTGGTGACGTAGATAGCAAATAGGAGTGAAATGAAATGCAGTCCAGGAGCAACAGAATGTTAAACGACTCAAAGAAGCAGATGAAACTCATACATCAGAGAATATAGAATTTCTACTAAGGACAGGAGCAGAGAAGACACTTAGCAGTTTCAGTATGTGTTGGCAATGCTGACCACATCAACTATTGAGCAATGCCATGTCTCTCTCAGACAAACAGGGTGCAAGTATGCTTGTTCTCCATTTGCAGGAGGGATATGTGCTTTCCTTGCCAACATTTTCATTACCATCCTGCTGCGGCCACCTGTTAGATACAGAGTATGGTGGCCTCTATGTTGAGTCCCTGTTCATATCACACATGCTTTGTTTTAGCCACTTGCTTGTTGACATGCTGAGCTAGTAGCTGTGCAGCTGTGCAGTATTCCCACTCTTGTCATATTTTCTGGATCATTTCTGGGTATTGTTTCAGGTGAATATACTTTTTTTCTTGGGAATAAAAGTAGTTTATTGGCTAGCATCCTGGCCCGAAATGAATAACATACAAGTTCAAGTTTCTGGTTTGCCTGAGTGTGAGTGATCTGCTTTTGGAAATCAATCAAAACCAGATCACAGAGCTGGAGAGGAGTTAAGCCTTAGTGTCTCCCATGCCAAGCAGCCTAATTACCTGGCTCTGAAGTATCACATACACACATACCACACTTAGACTCATATCTTGTTTTCAGCATTGAACAAAAGCAGTTTTGGAAGGTACTTGTGGCTAGGAGCTGTAAGTGAGGTGAGTGATGAATTCATTAACAGTCATCCATATTGCTAATGAAGTGCAGGAGGGAGGTTGAGGCACCAAGCTGAGGGCGCGAGCAGCTAGTTGTTATATATGTAACAGCTATGCCTCATGGTATTCATAGCTATGACATGGTTATTCAGATCATGACTCCAGTGCCGAAGGATGGTTGAGGCTAATGCCTGACCTGTGCAGGCAGGAACAGTTGTACTCTGTCTGGCTGATTAGCTCAGGTACAGCACGGTGTTAACAGAGGTATATGGAGTTGATTGGCGCTAGCCTTAATTCAGCTAGTGTAGAACAGGAGGGAGAGAAATTCTATTCTTTATGCAGTCATCTCCAATGAGATTGGTAAAATGAGCCATGCTGAGTGGAGATTTACCCAAACAAGTCATTTGGAAATGCTAAGGTTCAGTCAAAGTTCTGCCTTTCTGGTTGGAGAACTGTGAAGCTGAGGCCTAGGTGCTGCTTTTTTGCTTTTCTAAGCTTTGCTGTTGGGAGGTGACAGGAGAACTGTAGTGATGGAATGGTGCCAGTGTCCTAAACAAGATTTCTCAGAGCTCGTCCACAGTAGGACACTTCAACATCCACCTCTTCAGGCATTTGGCCCCATTTCCAAGCACATCGCTCACCACTACCAGCCAGACACATTGCCAGTGTGTATGTGCATTTAAGTCCTGATCCCACACGGCTTCTCAGGACCTCAGTCTGTGTCCCAAAGGGATTCTCTAATCAAACTCTCTGTGCTAGTCTTTCCTGATCTTTTTTCAGCACTCACTCTAAACCATGTCTTGGATGTAGATGTGTCTGCATACTTGTGTATACTCAATAACTTAAAGTTAAGACACTCCACAGGTATGCAGGAGATAAATTTCAAACTTGATTTGATTTGGAGGAGGGACTTAGATCTATATCTCCCATACTCCACGTTAATTCCCAAAATTTCAGATTATTACATATTTTTGTGATGTTTCCCTTTATTCGGTAGGAGATACCTTACTACCCTTTTCTCCTATATATCCCAAGAGATTTTTCTTCTTGGCTACAGAAGAGAGGGGGTCTCACTTTCTTTGTCTACTGACACAGCTGTGAGGCAAGGGACAATCCTTAAATCTTTCACAATCTCAATAATAGTGAGGTAGATGATTTGCTATTCAGCTCCATGTATCTAATGCTTCCATCCTCTTTCCTTTCTGATGGAGTCCAATTACTTCTTCCCCAAATTATCTCTGTTGAACCTTTTTTTATTATTCTTGCTGCCTGTTTGGCTCTTTTTTTTCAAATGATTTTTCAACTTCTATCTGTCTGTTAGTTTAGAAGCCTTTACAAACTTCCAGCATTTGCTTGCATTGGTTTAATATAACAAAATTCTTATAAGTCACACCTTTCATTTCATAATCAGCAAAGTAAATTATCCTGCTTGAAGGTAATAATGTAGTGCTTCATTTAACACCATAATGATGTTAAATTAAAAGCAACTCTGAAAGAGCTGCCTTTTGAAAGAAAAGAAACCATCCAATCTAAAGATAGCAAGGAAACCCTGTAGAACCGAATGACATTTTCACTTAGAAATGGTAGTACTATTTCTGTAATAGTATTTTCTTATAAAAGCTAGTTTATTTCCTATTTATGAAAAAAATGTTTCAAATTGTTAACAAGATTCAAAAAACAGTCCTATAGATTGGCTTAACATGAAGTGTTTACTCCATAAGATACTTAGTCAGCAGTTCATTTAAAACACGTGCCTGTCTTTGTGTTCCTAAGTAATCCATTTCAAATATGAACATTTGCATCTTAAATTTAAACACGCGCTGAGGCAGCTAGTTGAATCAAGGCCTGAAAAGAACATTGATATTATAGTTGGAGTAATTCAGCATTGATCCACTTCATTTTAGGAGAGTTTGGTGAAGTATGCAGTGGGCGTCTAAAGCTTCCAGGCAAGAGAGATGTTGCAGTAGCCATTAAAACTCTGAAAGTTGGCTACACTGAGAAGCAAAGGAGAGATTTCTTGTGTGAAGCAAGCATCATGGGACAGTTTGACCACCCCAACGTTGTTCACTTAGAAGGGGTCGTTACCAGAGGTAAGCAGAAATTACTTTAGCTTATTCATGGTCAAAGATTCAAATTATAACAAGCTGCGCACTCCTAGTGGATTTTCTCCTGATGCGTAACTAACTAAAACAATACTTACTTTATGCTACAACCTGAGGAAAAAAATTAAGATGCAGGCATGATTAAAAGATGAAGTACTTTGAAACATATTATTTCTCTAGTTTCATTTAGCCTCAAAGACCGTGCAGAGAGATAAGGTTTCTTATGTCCTTTCATATTATCTGAAGTGTCATTATTCCAGAGTCCTGTTCACACAGCAGGAGCTAGGAGAACACACTGACATTTTGATTTGTATGGTTTAATTTTGTGAATCATGACCACGTTCCATACAGACATTTAAGAACTTATTAGAGCTCAGTAGCAGTGCTGGAGGCCTCAGAAATGTTCATTGTCTCAATGATTCAGTCCTTCAAAGGAAAAACATGTGTTTTAGAAAAAAAAAAAGGCACTCCATTTGTGTAACAGTTTCTCAAACAAAATCTGTCTTCTTTTATTTCAGGGAAACCAGTCATGATTGTAATAGAATACATGGAGAATGGGGCCTTAGATGCGTTTCTTAGGGTGAGTAACAAAGTGAAAACATATATAAAATACTTTTTGACATACATATTATATTTTTATTGTCTCTTCTAAAAATACAGGTTTATATATGTGCATATATATATATATATGTATACATGCATGATATTCATATAATTAAAATGGTTTTCAGGCTGAAATGAAGCTTGACAAATACTAGTAGTTCTCTATGTTATTTCAGCAAAACCAGATCAGAAATGAGAGGATCAGACAGAATCTCACAGGAGCATTCTAGGAATTTAAGTGGTTTAATGTGGCATAGACATGGTGAGTTTTATTATTGCCACCAGCTGAAGTTAAAGCCACTGATACCTGAAGCCCAGTCTTCTCCCTTTTGGGAGTAGAATTTTATTGTGTCAGCATGGTGGAAATCACTGTACAGGAATCCCTAAATGAACTAAGATTGTGTTTAAGAGAAGAACAAAGGAAAACAGAAATGCAAGTTCGCAACCATTTAACATTTTTGGAGTGTATCTTCTGAACTGGACAATTCTGACTCCTTGCCAAGAGTATAAGTGTATAAGTGTGAGATGATGTACAAACATTCTATAAAGAGTGAAAAGATTATCTTTGTTTGATAAACCCCCAGCTATGAATAAAATGATCAGTAGGCAGGGTTCCAAAAGGAGATAGTCCTTATTTTCTTGATATAAATAATTATGCTGACAGATGAATTGCATAGATGCAAACTATAAAGAGCTGTGTGTCAGCTATTCTCTCTTGCAAGAAACTTTGCATGAGAGCCAGATACTTATAGTGATTAACAAGTTTTGATACTTCTAGTACAATAACTCCTCACACATTTCTTTACTGGGTATATTGCTCTATCTCTAAAGAAAATAAAACGTGTATTTGAAGTGTGTTTCTTTGCTCTAGGATGAATTGCCATCAAAGTAGTTAATAAGTAAAAAGTTAAATTTGTAAAACTAATTCTTATTTCTCTTCTCATCCATACTAACAAGAATTGCTGCTTCTTTCTTCCCTCCAGAAACATGATGGACAATTTACAGTCATTCAGCTAGTGGGAATGTTGAGAGGAATTGCTGCTGGAATGAGATATTTGGCCGATATGGGATACGTACACAGGGATCTTGCAGCACGCAATATTCTTGTCAACAGCAACCTTGTTTGCAAAGTGTCAGACTTTGGCCTTTCCAGAGTTATAGAAGATGATCCAGAGGCTGTCTACACAACTACCGTAAGAGAAATTGATGGGTTTTAGTAGGTTTGAGATGTGGTTATTAAAAAGAAGCATATCTTCTAGGGTACATGGGTAAGAGAAATACATTAATTGCTTGAGAAATGTTAACCAGTCAAAAGGAGAAGAGTCTCTGCAGAAATCTGCCTCTAATTAGGGCCTGCTATTTTTATAAGAACATACATTTTTATTTGGTAAAGTTCTAAAAATTTTGCACAGTGTCTTCATTATTTCCTTCCTCATGATTTTCTGTTTGAACAAATACGGAAGTTTTACTCTTAAAAAATTTAATCATCTCACTTACTGTGAGTCAATTAAAATATTTGTAGGCTATTACTATTTTTCAGACTAGATTTTGTCTCACCAAAAGTTTAACTAGCTTGAGGCTAGACTGTGACAAAGCTCAACTCCTGTGTTTTCCATTGCTTTTAGGTGGGACGCTTTTCTTAAATACGCATTCATAAAGCACACTGTGTTCTTTATTCTTTTGCTGAGCCAGCTCCACTTTCCCACCCATGGGGCCTCGCTGTACCTGTTTTCTCATGCTAAGGGAAGGAGGGGCCTGTGCAATCTGCTCTGGCAGACACAGGGATCCAAGAAACCTCAGTGGTGTTCACAGCTGTCATCCCTGCCACTGGGATCTGAGTGGGATCCTGGTTTAAAAATGTCAGACCATGGTTTCAGATGAGCCATGTGACAAGTTGTATGCACAGATGAGATTCCTCTCACCTAGCTTTGGGCAGCCAGGAGTTACGTGACTGGTGTAAATCAGATATGTAAACAGCCCCTTAAAATTAATAGAGAGAGAAGCACATCCAGAGAAAGGCATCCAACTTAGCTTAGGCAAGTAGCTGAGTTTCTACGGTCCAAGTGTTTTAAGAGTTTAAACTTCCCTAGATTCTTTTGAAAATTCTACTGTCAGTCAACTATAGTAAATGGTCATCATCTTGATGGAAATAATTATAAATGCACCATACGGAAGATTATATGGAAATTTCGTGGAGAAAAAAGAAGAATTTCTTTTTTTCTTTTTTATTTTCATAGGGTGGAAAAATTCCAGTGAGATGGACAGCTCCAGAGGCCATCCAGTACCGCAAATTTACATCAGCCAGCGATGTGTGGAGTTACGGAATAGTTATGTGGGAAGTAATGTCTTATGGAGAACGGCCTTACTGGGACATGTCAAATCAAGATGTAGGTTATTCTTTGTCTATGAACGTGTGTGTGTGTGTGTGTTAGAGAAACAAAAATCACATATTAGAAACACATACATATGTGTTTCCCTATATGTGCATAAAATGTTAGTTTAAAAATAGATTTATCAAAATACTGCAGAGTTTTCACAAAATGAAAAAAGTTACAGAGCTTTCACTTTTTACTAAAATCTCTAAATTATTCTTCTAATATGTGGATGTTTTAGGTTTCTGTCCTGAGTATCAAGTAAAATTGGAACATCAAGAATAGTAATATGTGCTCTTCACTTTATTACACTTAAGCATAGAAGGAATTAATTTTTTTTCTGACAAAAAATAATTCCGAGGTTTCTGACCTCAGAGCAATGATTAATCAGTTGAAAAAAATTTATTAAAAATCTGAGTGGCAGTTAATGACCTACTTTGGCTTTTGCAAGTTAATTATGCTGATTTAACAATACTCTTGTTTGCATAAAATATGACCCAGAGCAACAGGTCAGCAGTAATAGAACAGATGGGTGTTAATCTTGATTTCTGACAAGAATATCTATTAATACAGAAAGTACACAGGAAAAAGCCATGCAGGTGAGAAAGATGTCAGAAAGAGTCTCATTTAAACTTTTTCAGGTCGAGGGCTTGAGTATTTTTTTTATTATTTTATTTTTTGACTGAATGATAGACATCAAAGTTGGAAAAAAAAGATAAAAGTGTAAATGATGAGTCAGTTTGGCATAGTGCAAAGTTGTTAATATTTGACAGGTCTCAGTGTCAAAGATTTCATGGACTGTCAAAATATGGGCAAACAAGTCCTTGGGGCAGAGAAGGAGAAATATTTACATTCCCTAGACACCCAGTAGAGTTTCATTTCTTTTGACACCTTCCTTCTGTACTGGATTCAGACATAAAAGAAGTCTGACAGGAATATAAGATGCCTCAAAGGCAAACCTTACCTATCTTTCAGGAGACAATAAGGAAAAACTTTTAAACAGGGGAGAAATTTTGGTCTCTTCATGCTTCTTGTTGGATTTTGATAAGTATTCCCTCTACTGAAAAGTGCAACTAGAGCACATGAATGAACTTTTTTCATAAAACAGCTAATTACCACTTCTTGCAGCTTCATCGCTTTTTAAAATCTTCCATAATAATCTTCAATAGCACACAGTTAAAAGATGCATGAATTGCTTGGTAAAATAATTTCAAATATTCTTGTATGCTGTGATCTTCCCAAATCTTTGTGTGATCTTTGTGTTATCCCAAAATATATACACTTCTACCAATTCCATAGATAAATCTGTGATGCGAAAATTTAGAATAATTTTATGATTACTTATTTATTCTCCTTCACATTTACCAATGGGAGTACTTAGCTGGAATAAAAAATGCTAAATGTGTCTCTTCTAATTTTTCATATGCACTCAGGCAGTTTATAAATCTTAACTGTATCATTTTTTCTAAAATTGGATGTGGGTGTAGTCATAGACCAGATCAAATCTAAAAACATGTCCTCCTGACTTTGGACCTTTAGATGGCATTTCTTGAATTCTGCTCCTCTTCCTCTAAGTCATTGTTTCAGATTGATGGAGGATACCAATTGGTGTCGTGACCTGTTTCTAAGCAAAAGTTCTTCTTTTAGCAACGACTTGGAGCTGGGGTGCATGAGAAGAACGTTCATCCTACAAGTTCCCTCCGGGAACACAGATGACACACAGAGTTGCCCCAACTTCTCTGAGAAGCAGGCTCCAGTCAGCTTAATCCTTGCTAGTAACAGCACTCCTCAAACTGCTGTACTTTACCCTACTCCACCATTAGACTGCTGGTATTTGCTAGTTCTTACTCTTATTTGGTTACCAACCCTAGTGCAGATTAGTTATTCAGAAAAGGATAAGAGTTTAGGCTTACATATTTTTCTTTGCTATACTCCTGGATTTATTACAATTGTAGTATTATTATTATTATTATTATTAGGCAACCAGTATATACAGTGAGCAGACCTGACCCTCTTCTACTTTACTTCCTCACGTAGCCTGATTATGATAAAAGTATACCTGACTCTTAACAGTACTCCCTTTTTCTCCTTTTGCAGCAAAAGCAGAATTTAAAAAACAAATTGTGGGAAGTGTAAATAATATAAATAATTTCTCTTAGTAAGAACTCTGGCTGTGATCTCTTTGTAGCTTTGCTTATTAATAAAACAAAAATTAAATTCCTGCATTTACTTCATTGTCTCCAATAACAGAATTTTGGAACCCCACCCCCACCTTCCTTAGCAGAGTAGCCACCTGTAGTACCCTTCAAAGTGCCTGAGTTCTGTATTTTTTTTTTTCTAAATAAGAAACTTTGCTCATAAATATTTTAGAATGTTTTTTCAATGTTTTGGATATTGCTAGCAATTCCATCCATCTCTAGCTAACTCATTATTTTATATTTCCCAGTTTCATCCTTCTTGCTCAGAATACACATCAAAGAAGCTGATTCTGCAGTATTCCCAAAGCCCTTACACTCTTGAATATAGTCTTATCTAGATGGTTTGCAAGTTCCAAGGGTCTTAGTTTGGTGGTTGTGTTGCTGTTACTTACTTTTTCATTCCTCATTGCTTGTCTCTGCATTCTGAGCTCTTAAGCAACTTCTTCACTTGCGGTAATTCATATGTAGTAGACACAAAGGGCTTAATACCTTTTACCTTTCAGAAAGTCAGAAATTTCCGTATTACTTTTCATAGCACAACAGTTCTATACATACTGTAGCTTATTTTTCACCTTTTTTTCATGGCCACTTCTAAGCATAAGGAGCTGTTCTTTTGTTTTTCCTCTTACTGCTGCTCTAAAAGATCTTACATTTTACTTTTAATGTGTTCTTTTTTTTTTTTTTTTCCCGCTATATAGTACTGTTCTTCCAGTTTCTCTGTTCTTCTGCACAAATCCTCCCTCCTCACCCTGTCTTGCCAGGTAACTTCACTGTCTCTAAAAGGTCACTGCATTCATTCTTCAAGGTGTGGGTGTTGCTGAGGGAACTGAATATTTCTCAGTTATTTTTGTGTTGTAGGACAGTACTGTCATTTTTTTTTTTTTTTCCCGCTATATAGTACTGTTCTTCCAGTTTCTCTGTTCTTCTGCACAAATCCTCCCTCCTCACCCTGTCTTGCCAGGTAACTTCACTGTCTCTAAAAGGTCACTGCATTCATTCTTCAAGGTGTGGGTGTTGCTGAGGGAACTGAATATTTCTCAGTTATTTTTGTGTTGTAGGACAGTACTGTCATTCTAAATGTTCAGATAGAGTGCTGAGACCCTGGGAGATGAAGTGACTTCCTTGAAGTCAGAAGGACATTCTGTGACACAAACCTGCAGCAGGTGCCCTACCACTAGGCTATACCTCCTCTTTTCACAAAACATCTTTTCTGCAAAAGGTTTTAATACAATCATGGATTTCAGCCAGCTTTTTGAAGATCATTTTGTATTCTTTGCAGTTCTGCCTACTTTGCAGTCCACTGCTTTTGCATTTTCTCACACAACCTATAGAATATTTTCTATCTGAGGTTATTATTTCCACTAAACCCTGGATATTTGCCAGCTTTATTTATCATACCAGATCTGCTTCTAGGGCTACATCCAGAACACCTTCTGATCTTGCTTTCTGTAAAAACTGAGGGAGAAGACAGTCCTATGCACTGCCCTTCAGGAACAAGCACCCTTCCTTAGCAATTCTAATACTGCTATGTCAGTCAATGTCAGTATACTTGAAATCCCACATGAATGGTGTTTTAGCCCTTTTTCACAGGTGTTTCTTATCTGCCTTGCTTCCTGATGTGCTTTCTTATCCTACCCTCAAGGTTTACAGCAGTTTCCTGTGATTTTACTTTAACCATTTTTATTTTTTACTTACATCCAAATGGACTTGGCTAAGGAAGTCAGCGGGTGGGTATAATTCTTGGTTTAGACATTTATGCTCCCCTTTGATCATATCATCATCCAGCAGCATCTCTTATTAAATCTAACTTTCCATTTAGGTGATATATTAAAATACCATTCAGCCAGGTCTTCCTTTCTTACATGGCACATTTCTGCTACTATATCATTAATGTAACATGGCTAGACATAGAATACAACTTCTTTTCCCTAACAATTTCTATCCGCTAAACATTTTTCTTGGATCATTTTATAATATCTTCAAGTTTTTTGTATTTTATATGTTCATGCACTGATCCCTATCCATTTACAAGTCAGTTGCTTCTACCACACA